GTGTAGTGTGTGTGTGTGGTGTGTGTGTGTGTGTGTNTGTTAATCAGTGCAATAAATTATGTCTGCAGTAGGTGGCGCTCTGAGCTCACCCCCAGCACCTCCAGCTGCAGAATAAAGCGTGTGTGTGAGAGAGAGATTCTCTCTCTCACACACACGCTTTATTCTGCAGCTGGAGGTGCTGGGGGTGAGCTCAGAGCGCCACCTACTGCAGACATAATTTATTGCACTGATTAACAAAGAGCAATAGAAGTAGAGGAACTCGAAAAAAAAGTCTTAGAGAGGTTTTATAATATATTATCTCCCTCCCCTTTTTGTCTTCCTGTGAGTGTGTGTGGCCTAACTCAGGTGTGTCACCTGACCTTTGACCGTTTGGAATTTAGGAGCCAGTGATCATACACCATGAACTAACCTGTTAATTATAGAATATTTAACAGGGCGCACACACAATTGTCAATGCTTACACCTTCAGCTGAGAAAATAGGTCCTCCGCCCATTGGCCTACAAGAAAAATAACAATAAAATACAAAATACAAAAAATAAAATCATTCAATACTACTACTACTACTACTACTACTACTACTACTACTACTACTACTACTACTACTACTACTACTACTACTTATAATAATAATAATAATAATAATAATAATAATAGTNAATACATAAATCAAATCAAAAATAAATCATTCAATACTACTACTACTACTACTACTACTACTACTACTACTACTACTACTACTACTACTACTACTACTACTACTACTTATAATAATAATAATAATAATAATAATAATAATAATAATAATAATAATAATAATAATAGTTAAAAAACAACTGAAGTATTTAAAATAACATTAATGTGTTCAAAGTGTCAAAAGTCATAAAATACACAAATATTTATTGCGCCACAAATGCCGAATGCATAGGCACTTTACTGCGTCATTACGCACTCCTGAAGCACCAAAACATATGTGAATAGAGGCAGTTTTGCAATCAGGGCCGCGAAAAACTTTTTTTTACTGAAATATATTAAATAATATAATCGATATTTACCACTATGCTGTCCACTATGTTGTCCACTATGCTGTCCAAATGAACCATATTCAATGAACAGACTATACATACTAATGTATATTTACTTTTGAAGTGTTTCCTGTTCCGCATGTTGACTGCAGTATGCATACATTCTCTCCACGTTGGATATACAAACATAATGCTGATTAAAATAATAAAGCTTTAGTCAAACAGGAAGTGTGTTGTATAGCAATAAACTGTTACAATGACTAGCCATAACTTTTACCAGAATAATTGAACCATTCCCACAGAGTCATGTCTGATAAAGAAAGTGTGATTGGCCTCTCTCTGTCTGCAGCTGCAGAGCAGGAATGTTCAACCTGATCTGTGACGTCTACACTGGATGGAAATCTGCTGATTTATGATTTGTTGATTCCCGGCTTGGGATTCATTTCATCCAGGGTGCCTCTGTGTGTCTGGCTGAGTGTGTGTGTGTATGTATGTATACCCTGTATGTGTGTGTGTCTGTGAGTGTTTTCATAAAGCCTCTTAGTGTGTGCATGTTTCGTTGTAGCTATGACACACACATGTGCATGCACACAGATGAGAACATGGCGCAGATTCCAAATCTTTTTGTAAGAAATGATAAAAATGCATGCACTCTTTGAGAGACTGTGTGCATTAATGTGCTCCGGCATGTGTGTCAGCAGCTCCAGGCCACATTTCAGACAGCTGCTGTCACACTGAGTCACACGTCGTCAAAAGGAACCAGCAGTTGAAAGAGAAATAATCTGGAAGTCACCAGGCAAAATAAAACAAAAGCAGAAGGCTCTAACAGGGAAATGCACAACACAGAAGTCATATTTGCTATTTATCTCACTACAGTTTTGAAATGAGTTCTAAATTATTCATTTGGAAGCATTCAGGGGGCCTAAAAAGAAGCCAAAGTGTGCCAGAAATGTCCCAAGAGCAACAGGAGGCCCTGACCCAATTGGCTCACACTTTTGAACACATTCCCTTCGTTATATTTAGATTACCAGCACACTGGATATTCGTGCCTCGAAACGGCTTCCTGACCACTTTGGCCCAAAGTAATTCAACAGATAAAAGAAGTCATATTTATTTCGATTTTGAGCTTTCAAAACAGCAGAATGTTGGATTATTTTTTTCTGTATTTTGTTTCCATTCAATTTTTTGTCTTCATTTTGACTTTTTGTTAACTATCCAGTTTGGCTATGAGGATTCCTCAGAATTCCTATTAACTGGAATATGTCCTGAATCTGCTTCTGCTCAGATTGCTCATGGATACAATCAACCACTAAATATTCTTACATGAAGTGCACAACTGTGAGCACAATTCATTGCAATCTTCACTTAAACCCTCACGGCAAGCTGTGCACAGATGTTGTAAAGAGCCCTCTGTTTTTGAGGATTTCACATTAAGTTAAAATGTTAAAGAGTGTGTCCAGTTCATGGCATAATTTAAAACTCTTGCTGCATACATTTAGAGGCATAGCTTAAATCAAAGCTTGTTTTATGCTCAGGAGAACACAAGGTATACAGAACGCTCAGACAACACAAAGGTCTGTAGCATTCTTTGCCAAAAACATGAAAACAGCAAACACGTGTGTGCAGTTAGAAAGTGTTGGTCTGTCAAATGAGTCCTCTGGGTCACAGTGAAGCCTTTCACTGTTTAACATAGAACATCTGCCAGAGGAGTCTCTACTAGAACCACACAGCCGGCATCAGCTTCTCTGTCTGTTACAACACTTCTACTTTGGAATTTTTGAGCACGGTCTGAATTTAATGTTGCTGATTACCTATTTACTGAGAACCCATGTCATCTATTCCCTTGGCAGAAATTGAATATATAAACTCAATCCGGCAGGCAAACAAGAGAAAGACCTGGACGTCTCCAGCTAAAATCTGTTCCAAAATAAAATTACGTCACATTAATAATGATTAAAATATAGAACATGCATGGAAGTCAGAGTCCAAACTCATGAGGTGAATAGCATTATGGTGACGTTAAAACACTGTTATGTGATCTGTTGCCAGCATAGACTACATTTAGAAAATGTTACACTGATTATGAGTTGTATAAGAATATTGCAATAGCATTTTCATACTGTGTGCAACTGATGGGTATAACATCTCTTTGTAAGCCAAGGCGTATAAGTTATAATGGGTTTCCCGTTTATTAATGTCCTACAATGGAATATCATACTCCAATTCCACGTAGCCAGCACAACAAGTGGGATAACACAACTGGAAATATTCAAATACCAATAGAAATAGATAGATATTTCAAAACAATAAGAATTGGAATATTGAAATTAGACATGGCAGTCTGCAGAAAGCAGTTGAGAAACTCAAACAAACTAAAGTGTGGTAAAGTTAAAAAAGACTCAGGAGTAGGAGTGTTATAAACTAAAATTATGTTTTCTGATATATGACGTTTCGGTGTTAGATAGGTGTAAAAGGCCTACATGAAATTACATAACATTTAATTTAGTTGACAAAGCTACTTAAATAGCACGAAAGCTATTTGTATTCAGTATCTTGCCCAAGAACATCGATTGTTAGACAAGCATTTAGCTTTCTGAGCCACATCCCAAAATTAATGATGCATTTTCTGTTGATTAACCTGCTAATGTTGTTACAGTGCATGTTTTAATTTGTCACCACACAAATAATTAGCTAGAATAAGCTTATGTCGAACAGATCAGAGGGTCAGTGATTCGATCCCAGCCCCCGCAGCGAACATATTTTTCTGTTGTTGGGTCATATGACTAGCACCAACATTGCTCCCACAGGCAAATCTATGGTATTGAAGTGTATGTTATTCACTTTGGACGAAATAGCGTTAACGCGCTTGCGTCACTGAATCCCAAGCCGCCTGCCGAGAGATGAACCCCGCGCGCCGGTCACTCAGAGGACACGCAGAGTTCAAAGGGTCACGAGGACATTGTCCACTTTGCCTGGGTGACACTGAGCGTATTAAAATGAATTTGGAGCGCGTAAATCCCAGCCAGAAGCGCACGAGTCTTCTGTGTGTGTGTGTGTGTGTGTGTGTGTGTGTGTGTGTGTGTGTGTGTGTGTGTGTGTGTGTGTGTGTGTGTGTGTGTGTGTGTGTGTGTGTGTGTGTGTGTGTGTGTGTGTGTGTGTGTGTGTGTGTGTGTGTGTGTGTGACGGGTCTGTCTGCTCGGCTCGAGGACAGGTCAACTTTCTCTCTTGGGCTGGTCATCAATTAGTGCAGCCGGCCATCAGCGAGAGCTCGCGCCCCTTGTCATTTCCAAAAAGAAAAACGCGTGCGCTGCCTCTCGCGCCGTAAATATGTGCGTGCATGATTTAGAGGGTAAAAGGTTTACGAGTCTTTATGCGCGGGTGTAAGTGGGGCACTAAATCAAAAATGAAACTATTCCTCGATGTTCACTTTGGAAACTAAAATTCTACTGTTGTATAGACTAAAAAAAAAACACCGAAAAACCAACAACATGAAGAATCTTAACCAATACATACTTAACATTTTATTGAACATTTCTCATAGGTATATACGTAATTACTGGACAAAAACACTAACATAAACAATGTAAAAATCCATAAAATATATATAACGCTTTCCTGAACGTCTTTAGGTAGTTTGGAGAAAAACATCAGTAGGTTAACACCTAGAAAGGTGGAATAACCCCCCCACCCCAACCTCTCCCGACCCGCATTTACATGATTTTTTCCTTTCTTATTTCTATACAGTTTAAATATGAACACCATAGGACATACACTCCTCAAATAGCTTTCCCTCCCGCCTCGTGTGTGTACGCACGTTAATTGAAGGTATAATACACACAACACGTTTACAAATAAGTAGAAAAAAGGATGGTCGAGTCCTTAAGCTTCAAAATAAGTGCCTGACAGACAGGAAGTACATTTGACAAAAATAAAAACTAGAATAAGAAGTGAGGTGGTGTTCTCGAAATGCAACAAAACATGGGGCGTGTTACTAATTGACGTATACTGCAAAATACAACACCACCCCCTCTCACATTTTAAGCTTGTGTTTCTCTTTTTTATGTTTCTAATTTGTAGATGTTTTTTTCCAACAGTCACGTGGTTGCTTCACGAGTCTCTTACGAATGATTTCCCAATGTTGAGACCACACAAAGCGTTGGAAACATTTCACGAGGGATCCAAAAAGGATTCCTCTCCCCGTCCTCCTGTCCTGTAAAAGTTTCACCACTGCTCAGGTAAAGAAAGTTAAATTAAAAATACTTTTTCCAGGAGTTTCCTAGCAGACACAAGTCTGGACGAAAACGGAAAGGGATTAACCGCCATGTCTTTTTCTCCATCTTCCTTTTTTCAAGTGTCTTTTTACATCAGTCTTTTTTTTCACTCCGTCCGTTTCTCCTCTTCCTCCACACCGTTCACCGTGGAGGAAGAGGAGGATGAGGAAGAGGAGGAGTTCATCAGCTTGTTTTCCTTCTTCCACTTCATCCTCCGGTTCTGGAACCAGATCTTGATCTGCCGCTCCGTGAGGCAGAGCGCGTGCGCGATCTCAATCCGCCGCCGCCGCGTGAGGTACCGGTTGAAGTGGAACTCCTTCTCTAGCTCGAGCGTCTGGTAGCGCGTGTACGTCTGCCGCCCGCGCCTCCCGGGGCTGCCGAAGGTCCCTGAAAGAGGAACACACAAAGTTACATTTTAACAAAGTCACAACAAAATAAGAATAACCTATAATGGCGGGAGGTTCTGCATATTTAAATATTCAATAAATAAGTCACGCCACCCAACAGTAACATTTTTAAACTAGGGTTTTGTCACACTCCGAAAATACCACCTGAATTGATATTCTGCTTAGTTTGTCTTTTTATTAAAGGTAGCCTACTTTCTGTCTTTCAGGCACTTTATTTGTAACTTTAGGACTCGAACATCCTTTTTACTGTGTAGACGTGTTGTGTGTATTATACCTTCAATTAAACGTGCATACACATTCTGATATGGTAAGCTAAATCTATTTGAGAAGTGCGTTCATATATATTTATACATGAGAGAAAGAGAAAAATATATATTTTATTCTTGCAAACCCGCTGCAATAGCTTTATTTCATGTATAATATATGTAAATAAATCCATCCATTATGAAACCGATACTTATATTCTCCTTATTCTCCTGGCTTTATGATTTTGACTTTATGTGGAACCAAAATGAGTCATAAAAAGAACAAACAACTGTATTTGAGCTATTTCATTTCCACAAATGACATTTTAATGTCATACCGTGAATAGCAGCATTGATCAGTGAATAAAGAATCGCATTGTTGCTGTTTTCCAGCACAAATTACAACAACAATAATATTTATTATAATAGAGAAAAGAAACACTAAGGGTAATATTTCAGAGGGTTTTCCCCTGGAGAAGATCAGCTTCCATGGCTTGAGTCTCCTCTGATCTTCACTAACAGTATTTTGGCCCCCGGTGGTAAACACATCGCCATGTTGTCAGTTCAGCAGCTTCAGTTCTGTCCGTATCGATCTGAAGCAGAGCATGGATGGGGAGGGGGGGGGGGGGCACCATGCTCACAGCAAATATCAGAATGTAAAGAGTCATAAATAATAAGTTCTCCAAACCAAGTTATGGAGAGGCCCTCAGCGTTTCTCTGCCACTCTGCTGTCAGCTACATCTTTAACTGCCACATAGCTCGAGCTGTATTTCTTATATGTGTATTCCTTATATATCTTTTCTGCAGACCTCACCCCTTTTACCTCGGAGTGTTCTGTACAACAGAAGCCCCCCATCATCCTCCTTTACTCACTAACACACCGCGTTTCTCTTTTACACAAAGAACGACACTCGGGTTTGCTGCAGAGACCCTTAAACTCAAAGTTGACTTACAGTGTAAAACAGGACATGCCTATTTCGGGCTGTTTTTTGAACTACCCCCCCTAAACTGGTCATGCACCCTCATTTTAACTCCAAAAGTGGCAGATTATTAACCCAGTATAGGCCTACATCATCTGTTAAGTTATGAATAAACACTGTCAACGATAAGAGATAAGGAATGATGATAAAACATGAGAGCAGGAACTGAGATGGTTTCCCTTTATCCGTAGCAGGATATGTACAAGTTTGCAAAAGAGAAATGGTATACTATTACAAGGTAAGAAGGTGATAATATTAATTTAATTTTAAGATTGTTCCTAAAACCAATCCGAAAAAACAATAATGTTTTTAAGGAAATTAAACACAAAAAGAGAGAGACAGTAAATAGATTACTGACTCATGCTTTTTTATCTCTCCCTCAATCTGTTCATTGTTTCTCCCACAACACTCCCTGACAGCCTCTTCCTCTCTGACTGTCTTCCTCTGCTCGGTAGCAGCCGGTCAGCGGGTCACATACAGTAACAGGAGCTCCAACCCAAACAAACCCGGTTTATGACGGACAATAAAATACCGAGCACATGACTGACTGACAGGCCAACAAACGGGGATCATAAAGCAGCTACTGGGAGAGGAGGAGGAGGAGGAGGAGGAAGAGGAGAGAGGAAAGACAGCAGCGCGGCTGGCAGAGGAAACAAACGTCAGTTTTATGGGGGGATCATAAAATATGCAAGGAAAGGAAGGAGAAGACTCACCGTTGCACGAGTTCATCCGCTGCATCCATGGATAAATGGGGGCTGATGAATGCTTGTCGTCCATCGGGTCCCCGAACATCCCTTTCCCACTCAGACCTGCGCACTCCGCTTTACGGTGCATGCCTTCCTGGCTCAGGGCGAGCTGGTGCTCCTCCAGGCTGCATTGGTGCTCCTTTTCCCGGTAAAAGCTCGTCGCCACAGCCGCAGCCGCCGCAGCCGCTGCCGCCGCTGCCGTGGCATAGTCGCAAGCACCGGCTCCTGTTGCGCCCCCTAGACCAACCCCTGGCGCACCCCGGTGCCCGCCGTACCCTCCGTTCGCCGCCTGCTGGTAGTAGCTGGACGCCGGATACGATTTGTCCTGGTGCACGCCGCCGCTCGCACCGTACGCAACGGCAGCGGCGGCGGTGACTGCTGCCGCCCCCGAGTAGTGCCGGAGCGGGTGATCAGCAGCGTATCCCGACGAGTAAAGCGGGATCTGACCGAGGAACGACTCCGCCGACTGTCCGCCGGCAACCGTTCCCGGTAACGTCACCGGGAAAGTGGAGTTGACAAAATAGGAACTCATCGGGAGGATAAAGAAGAAGGAAAAGAAAAAGAAGAGAAGAAGAGGAGAGGGGAGGATAAGAGGGAATGGAACAAACACAACAACAACGTTCACACGGTGAAGAAGAAGAAGAAGAAGAAGAAGAAGAAGAAGAAGAAGAAGAAGAAGAAGAAGAGAAGAAGAAGGAGGAGTAGAAGGAGGCTAACGGCTAACGGCTAACGGTTCTCCCTCCCGTCCTCCTGCCTTCCCCTGCCTGCACTTTATGATTTGTTGTGTTTTATAGCCCACAGTCCGACGGGCTGCTGCTATCACTTAGTTTATCGCAGATTGGGAGGAGTGGGGTGAGGAGGGGTATACCGGGGGAGGCAGAGACCAGCTGACCTCTCACTGACCAATGGGAAGCTTCCGTGCCTGGCATTCGTTCGAGGAAGAAGAGGAGGAAGAATAGGGAGGGGGGGCTTGGTACTACCGCCCCCCCCCCACAACCACCACCTCGCCCCTTTCCTATTTCCCTTCCACAATATCAGACTCTCTCTTTCTAATTCTCATTGCATTTCTCTTTCCAACCTTCCTCCGGTTCCCGGTGAGATTGCGCAATAACACCGGAATCCTCCGCGCGTAAAATTGATTCTTTCTCTCCCCTTGTGTCCTCCTCCGTCTGTTGTTGGAACCATAAAACACAGCAACTCATGCACACGCACGCGCCCCCCTCCTCCTTGAGGGGATGGTTGCTGCTGCACCACCAGAGGCAACCCAATAATAAAACATATTCCCGGCGCTTTGCACATAACACCGAGCGTATTAAAATGAATTTGGAGCGCGTAAATCCCAGCCAGAAGCGCACGAGTCTTCTGTGTGTGTGTGTGTGTGTGTGTGTGTGTGTGTGTGTGTGTGTGTGTGTGTGTGTGTCCTCTTCTTGCATTAGGCCTTTTATCGTGACTACTTTCAGAATTGGACGAGTTATTTCTAATTTGGATGGTATTTTGTGAAGATAATCTGATATCTGTAAATGTTTTGTTGTTGTAAAATAACCCGGATGACAGGCCCGTGTTTTACTGTAGGAAGAATATACTACTAATTATACTAACACACTCCGTTAGTTCCAGGCTGTGTCTGTAGGAAATTACTGCGTGTGCAGGAGTTTGATCAATGCGCGCAGTGAATTATCATTTTCTACTTATGTGACACTGATTAGGATGAAATGTAAAAGGAGAAGAGGAAGGAAAACGGTCTCGGAATTTCCAAATTTGTTCCCGTTTTCCTGACACTGATTAGAGCCTCGCGCCTGAAACTCTTTCCAAGGGGTCATATACATTCAAGATATATTTAAACAAATAGCCTGCATTTAGCCACAATGTTAATGTAAAGCTACAGCTCGAAAAAAAAAGGTCTTCTAAATAAAGCTAATTTTGCAATTTTCTACATGTGTTATGTTTAGGTTATTACAACTAGTAGAACAGAAATTTAAATTAAAACTTTCAGAAAAAAAAAAGTTATATTATTTGTCAGGATTATTTTGGCTGTTATCAATTGATCCGTGCAAAACCTTTCATATAAATATATTGTTAATATTTTTAAACAACACATATTGTATCTATTCCATACTGAGATATGTCTCTTTCTTTGCTACATTATCAGCTGTTATCCATATGTTATTAGGTCATCATTGTAGCAAACCATATAAGTTTTCCCACATTTATCATTTTTCTACCTCTCATTCAAAAGGGGGAAGAAAGCAAAGCTTAGCAAGCTAATAAATAAAAAGAAAAGCAAAGCCGGCCTGCTTTTAATTCTCACTTACAAACGGAATATGTGTCACTGAGGTCGTAAAATAACCGCAGCCATAAATAAATCTGCCTGTGTGTGTGTCTCTGTGCTTCCCTCACAGGCTCTGACTTGTCTGCACGGCCACACTGCAGACAGTCCTCTGACAAACAGAAACAAAGACTCTATTTTTACTCCTGCTCCCACCCCCGTCCATTCCTGCATCTCTTATAACCGTTCAGAGTTGAATTCTCCACTCTCGCTTTCTGTGGAGGATCAGTTGGTGAATCTCTGTTCCTAACTTTCATTTTGACCTCTCTCTCTCCCCCTCTCCCCCCTCTGCTCTCTCCCTGGCAGGACGCTCCGCTTCCTCTCCACTTTGTGGGAACGGGAAGCAGCAGCATTGTGTTGGAGCTGCCTGTGGTTTAATCATTAATGAGCACAGTCGGGGCAGGACAGGCATCTCTCCAGCCTGGGACTCACAGGACGGTAATACTATCATTACATACACAGCCAGTATGCGTTAGATCAGGTTTAACGTAATTGTGGCTTTGACATGAGTAGGAAAAAACGTATTTAGTGGTAGCTGCAGAGTAAATATGATTTCATATTTAGCTGAGTGTGTGGCACGGAAGAACTGAGCTAAAACTGGATTGACATGCTGATAACAAGTGTTTTTAATGTGGTGCTTTCAATAGTAGGCCTATCACACTGCAGATTAATGGCAGGCCTCAGTGCTTCGAACAAATGGTGCATTATGAAGTTTTAAAACACTTCATAAGTATGTTAATTATGCTGTTTATGTCAGACAATTTTTAAAAAATCAATAACGTGAAAAATGATGTCTTAGGCAAGCAGATTAAATGCTATTAAAAAATACATTAATTACACTTAGGAGATATTAACATTTTGAAAAGATTTGTAATTATGGCACATTTATGAGTTTTTATTTTTTCCAAAGCCTATAGCATAAAACTTAACAACATGAGCATTTAAAAATGTGATTGGCCTACAATACTGAAGTTGTGATATATAGAAATAGGGTAAGCTCTATAATACAATATTTGAATAGCTAATGTCAGTTTAACAGATTTATAAACGCTCAATAATCGTAGTGCTAACTCAGTTAAAGGCTCATGTGACTTCATTCAACACAGCTTGAAGGTTAACGTGTGCAAATATCTGTTACTGTATCATGTGACTGTCCTGAAATATGCACACAAAATAGCTGTGTGTTTAGCTTAGAACTGATACTTTATTAAAACTAATACACAACTTTATAAACTGTAATTTACTTGCTAATATTGTATCACAATGTGCATATTTTTACTTTAACCTTTTATGTTTGTTTTACTTTATCTGTTTATAGCTACATCTAACATTAACCTATGGTTTCATTCATGTGTGTGTGTGTGTGTGTGTGTGTGTGTGTGTGTGTGTGTGTGTGTGTGTGTGTGTGTGTGTGTGTGCCCAGGTGTGTTGCAGTCAGGAGGAGCGGAGTGGCACGCGGTACCGAGCGGCGGAGAGGAGGGCGGACTCGGGGTCTGAGACTGGACGCTGTGTCCCAAACATCCCGTCCGATGGGACGGTGAGACGGAGAGAAAGATAGTGGATGAAAGACAGATAGACAGACAGATAGACAGACAGACAGACAGACAGACAGACAGACAGACAGACAGACAGACAGACAGACAGACAGACAGACAGACAGACAGACAGACATACGTGGCCAACTCAAAGGGACCGAGTCACCTTCTCTGACGCATACTGTCAATGCGCTCTGCTTTTCGTCCCTTTCCGTAGGCCTCCATGACAACAGAAGGCACATGTCGCTTTACAGTTGGCCCTTTCTTACCCTTGTTTTATGGCCTTTTTCGGAAAAGCGTACGTTTGTAACGACCATTATGAAGTAAGTCGACGAAGATGTTGCTTTATAGGACTGAGATCGATATAATGATATTAATAATGGGCTAACAGAAATGTAATTATTATGAGCCTATTTATTTGTATTCTAATTTTAATTAATACAATTATTTATAATCATATCCCTGCTTAATAATAAACCAAAGAATATTTTATAAACAAATATTAATTACTACTTCTATTATTATTTTTGACCTATTACTTCAATAACATGATACAATTAATAATAATAATAATTTGTAGAAAAAATTGAGACAAGCCACTTTTGTATTTTGACTATCAAACTGTTTGTCGTTTATTAACACTGATTACAACGCAACCAGAACAAAACATTGGAAACAGTTACTCTCAACATTGTATGTTTCCATAGTAACACACTGTCTGTCACTGTATAGTAGGTAAAACAGCACAGGAAAGGCATACAAGTTTATTGCTATTGTTTAACCAGACAACGGTGGATTATGTCCTTAGAGTCCTCTACACATATAATAATAAATATTACAATTATTATATATTAATAATAACAGCAAATACTATTATGGTCTTCATCATTCGTATAACTTTATACGGTGGTTAACCTCGACAGGGCGATAATGCGCACGGCAGTGCATGGTTTCACACCAGCCTAATAACGGGCACGCGTTTGGGGGCTCCGCAAGCACGGTGCGCAGTACATGAGACGGTGTAGCTGATGGAGCTGAGTGTGAACAGAGAGAGCTGCTGAAGAACTCCAGGAATCCGAGCAACTTCAGAGATCATCCACAATTAAAGCTGAGCAGTCAGAATGCGGCTTTATAGCTTTATGACTCCCTCTCTCTCTGTGTGTGTGTGTGTGTGTGTGTGTGTGTGTGTGTGTGTGTGTGTGTGTGTGTGTGTGTGTGTGTGTGTGTGTGTGTGTGTGTGTGTGTGTGTGTGTGTATCCTAGGGGCTTTTATGGCTTTATGACCGTTTATGACTCCTTGTAAAGTCCGAGGAATGGCGACCAAGTGAAAAACAGGCCCGCAGCAAACAGCAGATGAACACATGCTGCACACACACACATACACACACACACACACACACACACACACACACACACACACACACACACACACACACACACACACACACACACACACACACACACACACACACACACACACAGGAGGAAGAGTGTGTTTTTGTGCGTCTTTGGGAATGTTTGGCACTGTCGTCACCATGACGCTAGATGGCACCAGAGCGTTTTGCAGGAGCGTGCTCCATAGTTCAGCATGGATTCAAGGATACAAAGGCTGTATTGTCACAGAGCATTTGGCAATGAGGATCTGCAGATCAGCCTCCTCCAACAATGCAATAAATAACACAGAAAAGCAAAAAAAAACAGTGCAATGAGAATAATGCACGTGCAATTAAAATGCAGCAATCATTAAATGATATACAAGAAGAGTTGGATAATATACAATGGAAGATTATTAATTCTCTCCTCAGTCTAAACACAAAAGCAGCCCATGATACTTCGTAGTTTATATAATCTATTCAAATATCACATTTTAAATAACTGACATTGTTTTAGCCTTCTTCATAGTTCAATAAATGTGCATTTGAATATCATATTAGATTAGATGTATTTTTATGACCCTAAATTGGGAACTTCTTTTGTAAAAGCGGCATGTTGGTAAAATGTTGTCAAATGTAATAAACAGAAACAGTAAATACATATCAACATTACAGTATTTAGAATAAACACATCATATAGGAAACACGTTAAAATACACTGTAATAAAGCAACATATTTACTCAAACCATTATGTAAACAAAGGATACCATGAACATTATAAAAGTGGGCAAGATGCAGTTTTTCAAAATGTAATTGAGATGCAGAGAGCTAAAGTGTGAGTATAAAATGTGCACATTGATCACGTCATTGCAAGGAGACAACAGAACAGCTCGCCAGAACTCATGCTCATTCTGGTGCAAAATATGCCATTTAAATGACAAATAAATAGTCTGCCTTGTATTGCCAGCTGCAGAATATAAATGTACGTGTCTAAAATACAAATATCTGTAAAATCCATGCTTTTAAATATAAAACTTGACATGCTATGACATTGCCTCTGCTGGCAGCCTCAAATGAGACGGAATCATCGCCTGTGTTGCAACCAGGCAATACTGAAAATGTTGTTAATAATTATCAATTATATAATCAGTTATTACAGTTTTGTATAATTTAAGCAGTTTTAATTTCATAATTTGCAGTTTCATAAACAAAAACTACCATGAATGACTAAGGTGTCTCTCAACTTCAGATACGTTTCCGGTTCACTCCGGTTATAGCCCGAGGACATCTTCTGACAGGAAAATACTGCTTAGAAATTAATGTTTGGAAATGTAATATTTATATTGAATATAATTATAACAATACAACAATAATAAAATATAAAAATGTATATCAATAACATATGGTCATGATAATATGAATATGAAGAGCATAACCCCCCGCCGTCCCTCAGCTCGTTGAAATATTTAACAGAGCGTGTTTGAGCTGATAATAAAGGAAGGAATGTGCGGTGAACATAACGTCCAGGAACTAATTACGGGATAGATTAAAGCCTAGTGTATATTAATATGACAGTATCTTATTTTCATTCTGGATATGTTTCTAAGCATTGGCCGTTAAATGGAGTTGTCACTGATCAGGTTGTCCAATGTTGACGTTTGTCTGATGAAAAGGTTGCAGCACATTGGTTTCTAATGAAAACGCTAATAATATGCTGGATATTGTTGGAAATGTTCCGTTTTTGGACATTTTTTTTCTATATTGATGCTGACAGAACCAGTCCGGCACCAGACTGTATCTTTCACGAAAATGGTTACCTGTTTGGTTTTTGATATAAAAACAGCTGATGATGTGTTTTTTTGTGTATTGGTTGAATACATAATTGGCTGTTTTTCTCTCAAATGTATAAAGATACTTTCCCAGCCAGCGATACAGTGTCAGTGATCCCACCAGAAAAGATTCTCAGATCAGTGAATCAGCCACAACATCTGAGGTTTCCAGAGCCATACAATGTTACATTGACATGAACATTTTGTAGAGATGTCGAAGAATGTTAATGCCTTTGCAAAATATCTTAATAAAGATACAGAACACATCATCTTGTTTACCGTCTATGTCCGCTTCACAATTGCGCAGTTGTGCACCCCTTTTGGAAAACGAGTAGCCACAGATAACTTCCTCAAATATTATTTAATATTAAAGGAAATTATTTATTTTAAAAAGGAAAAGGAGTGACTGCTGAGTATTGTATAAATGATTTAAAAAAAAAGTAATAACAAAAATTACACATTTGTTTGAAGGGTCATTTATTAGCTTGCGGTTGTTACAATGTAGCCTAAGTTAACCCCGTGAATTGGAAGATTCCTATTAAGCACCAGAAACAAAATAAACCGACATGCAGCTGACAAGAGATATGAACAATTCCATGTTAAGAGTGTCCTCCGGCAGAGGAGAAATAACTATCATGGGAGGAAGGATGAAGGAATTCCCTGTTTGATATTTGATACAGGAACAAATTGTAGACCACAGAGAAACCAGACAGACACACACACAGAAACACACACACAGACATAGCTGCAGATGTGTGTTTGTGAGTGGGGGGGCGTGTTGGGCGGTGTCCTGAAAAAAATCCCAAAACAGCCCGGCCGCCGCAGGGAGGAAATGAGAAGGGAAACAAAGTCATAAAAGTGGGCCGGACAGACTGAGACAGAAAAAACATTCCTGTGTCTGCACACGCACACACACACACACACACACACACACACACACACACACACACACACACACACACAAACAAATACGCACCAAACACACACACAGGCTGTCAGCTAGCAGAAACCTGGAAGCTCTTCCACTCAGATCTGGAAGTAAAACAATTAAAAGTAAAAAAATAAAAGGCCATAGGGAGGCAGATGGAGGGGCTGTCAGTTACCTGCTAAAGCCTATAAAATGAGCATAAAGCACAACATAAAGATCTGTTCTTTCAAAAATAAAACCAAATAGGTCATATAAAATGATTTGACACATCAGGCACACCTGCCCTCACAGCAATGCCTCATCTGGGAAACATGACCTCCTCCTCCTCCTCCTCCTCGCGGTGCACGGCTCGGGGGCAAATAGACCAAGCAGCCGAGTTTAACCTGGTGGATGTCTCTTCCGCTGCTTATCCCACCACCCACAGAACCAATTCATCTGGATAGTTCACCATGAAGGCTCACCCAGCCAGGGAACGCTTCAATCTGAGATGCAAAAGTATGCTAACACCTCATTTCTAAATGTGTGAACCGGGAGCTGCACAATCACGCACTCAGACTGGTTTTGCTCCTTAAACAATGCAAAGCTGCAGGAGAAGGAACGCGCATGATTGAACGCCTCTTACCGTTTGTTGATCATCCGTCACGAGCCCCGCACACCTGCAGCTGATTCCGGCGTCCCGCGTGCAAGGCAAGCCCGGCACCCCGGTATGGCACGAGACCGTGTGCAGACCGGATGGATGGATGGATGATAATTGGATGGAGGGGAGGAGGTGAGGATGAGGAAGGCGTATGGAATTGGAGGGGGTGCGCTCCCTGTTGTCACCCATCCGTCGAAACCCATCTTCATCACTCCCCATCATCACCATCACCATCAAATGAAATAATGTGTCAGAATAAAATGAGAACTAAAAAATACCGAAGGCATCTCCAGGGTGGTTGTCCCGGGTTTTGGTCGCGGCTCTTCCGATCTCGGTCTACCGGTTTCCAGCAGACAGCAGCACAGACGGAGCCATAGCAGAGGAGGAAGATCAGCGGGAGGAGGAGGAGTGTGTGTGTGTGTGTNGGGGTGGTGGTGTAGGGGGCGGGTTGTTGTCAACGTCTCCTCACGCCAGGTTTCCTCAGTCACAATATTCTCATTAACTCGTCCTTTTAATTAGAGCCGGGCGCTCGGTTCCTCCGCCCGGTGCTCCGCGCGCCGAGCCCCGGGCAGCGCGAGGG